CTGGAGCCACCACTGTCCCTGACTAAGTTCACTGATTACAGCTCTGGATTTTTCACAGTCGACCTCTAATTTTAATCGGTTTTAACCGTTTCTGGCGTTGTGTTGTTGTGTGATCAGTGTTGTTTTGGTTACGATGACTAATAATTTCACTGATGTGTTTTTCTCAGAAGGACGCTGATGGGCTAAAACAGACCAGAAGATGCAGTAGCGCTCCTCCTGCATCCCCACCCAGGCTGCGTGAAGCCACAGCAGCGTTTAAACTTGTCTGTTGTTGGTAAACAAGCAGGAATGTGTCCCGTTATCAGGAACCAGCCAGCAGAACAGATGCTTCTTCTTAAACGTTCTCAGATTAAACCTCTTAAAAACATCACTTCTTTCATTTATCTGCCCAAATCATCACGTTTGCAGGAAGCATGCACGTAACAAACGTGTTAAGATCAGAATCGCTGCGCTCCCGCGGCAGGGAAAAGCGTGCTGCCGTGTCTGTTTTAGCCCGTCAGCGTCTCTGTTCCTTCTGAGAAAAACACATCAGCGACATTATTAATCATCAGAACCAGAGGTGGTTTTACCATTGGGCGTAGGTAGGCAGCCGCCTGGGGCCCCCTTGTGTTGGGGGGCCTCCTAGCCCTGACCGCCGGCACCCCTCTGTTAATGCCACAATATTCTTATTACCAACCTGTTGCCGCAGATGGGATTGGACATGCGCACTTCTCATTACCATAATTCCTGAACCGTTCAAGATATCATTAAAATTCCAAAAGTGCTGAAAAGATTAGAAATGGGGCTTTTCGTGCATATACAATACATTACGGTATCCATCTTGAGCGCAACGAATCACAACACAGATTCAGAGACGTGCTGAGTTTGTCATCCAAAATGCTCCGTTTTATAACGTTTGAATGGCTGATCAGATTCAAAAAATTCCAACAGTTCCTAGCTTTCCAACGATCTATAGCGTGAAGCAATCAGAGTTAGGGAAAATATTGCTACGAGGGGAAATCCTGCAGTACAGCCTGATTGAAACGGAGCGCAATGGAGCACAGCGGCGCTGTGAAAGCGGATAACGGAACGGGGAAGCTAATTAGCATAAAACCAGCATGAAATTATGGAAATGCCTCAAAGAAAATCAACACGATCTATTAGGAGTCCCAGAAGGCTTATATCTGAAGACAGTGATCACGAAGAAGGACAGATCTCTGGTGAACCAGGATATGAACATTTGTTCAGTCTTTATTTTTTTATTTGAACAACCCTCAACTATTTGCTAATTGTAAGATTCAGCTTCATTCCAGCATTATTTATCTTTTTACAATAAATAATTACATTTGCTAAAACTAAAGTTTTTGGTATGGCAGTGCACGGTGTGCAAGAGAAGCACCCCATGGCAGTGAGGTGTGGACTCTGCCTGCAGCTGGAGAGAAACTGCTTCAAGGTCTACCACATCAAATATAAACGTCTGAAATTTACAAAAATAAATGGTCTTAAAAATAGCTAAAAAAAAAGATACCAAGGTTCACACTTTTTTAAGAATAGATGCATTACAGATCAAAGTTTAAATTGTTCATTCCAAATTGTTCGCCCAGTCATTTTGAAGTTCCTGTTCAGTAATAAATGTAAAAAATTCAAATCCGTTTTTTGCTTTTATCACTTTTAAGCTGATTTTTTAAAGGCTTTAATAGAAATAAATTCTAAATACAAACCATACACTGAAAGCTGAGGTTGTTCTGAAAAAAGGAGAGAGTTACACACACTTTGCGCTTTTTATTACAATTTTACAGCCATAAGATTAAAAAAATACCAGGCGGCCCTGTTATAATTATGGTCATAAGAGGGTTATTAAGACGGCGATGCACAAACAGGAAGTGATTGGTAGTCATTCCACTCCAATCCAGTTGGTGGCACCAAATTGTTGTTTGCCAAGTGCCATGAGACCACAAATAAGAAGAGGACAGGCGGCAGCATTCGTAACAAACTCAAAGCGATAGTCAAAACATTAAGCATGAAATGGAGTTATCCTGGTGGCTCCAATAAGAGAAAGAAGCAGCATGCTTCATAAAAGCTTTTATCTTCACTTCTGAAAGTGACGTCGTTTTTCGATGTAAACATCAAAAGGAAGCAGAAAGGAAAGACAATGGAAAATGTTTAAAGGGAGGAAAACATAGACCAAAATGGAAAATAGAAAAAAAATAACAAAGGCTAAAGACAGGAGCGCTGACAGGAAGAAGAAAGCAGAGCAAATATTGAAAGTGCTCAAAAGGAGGGAAATACAGGAAAAGGGAAAATAACTCATGTCAGAAGAGGGGAGAGTTTCGCAAATCCAGTTAAAGGTAAGATTGTTGAAAATTTTGTGTAAGGGACCACATGTCTGTGTTCGCCTTGGGCCCCCAAATTGCTAAACCTGCCTCTGATCAGAACCAAAACAACAACACAACACCAGAACCTGGTTACCATGACTACCAGTGCTGCGTGCCTTTTTGCACTTGGCCCTTTCATGTGCCTTTGATAGCATCTGCGTTATTGCGTAACCTTTGTGACGTCAGCGAGGACCAGCGTCATTAGGTGCTGGATCAGTTCTGTC